TGTCGGGAAGGTGAGCATCATAGAATGCCAATTTACTAGAAGAAAGTATTCTTGTGTTGAGGGAGTACTTGAGTGGAGAAGGAGCTTTTCTAGTATGATGTAGATGCCAAAGGATTTGCGCTTAATGACTGACCATTTCTAAAGTCTCTAGTTCTTCCTACTTCTCCGTCCTCATCTGTTGTGGGGGTGATAATAATATAATCTACTTCTTTGGGTTAGATAGATTAAAGGAGTGGTTTATGCAAAGTACTTAGAGCAAATCTGGCTCATGGCAAATATCTAGGAAATGTTAACTGCTATTTATTTTCTTCAAAAGAACCTTTTGTGAAAAAAACAACCCTTTTGTGATAATAGATGAGAGTTTACAGAGGAGATCCTTAATTTTACATTCAACAATTTACACAGGTTTTGTTTCAACTCATCCATTTCGATCCCCTTAATGTACATTCCATTGCTTATCCCACTTCCTCTCTGTGTGCCCTGGTTTGGCTCCTGCTTCATTCCTAAGCCACTGTCCTTGGGTAAATGCTACCCCTTTCATCTTAAATGGTTGATTTTTCTAACATATGGTGAGCTCAGTTCCACACCTGAAGGGTGACTAAGAGCCATAGTCTTGGGATTCTACCAGTCTCTATTTGACCAATAAATGTAGTCCTTTTATGATTGTGAATTCTCCACATTTTCTCCCACTCTTTGCAGGAACTTCGAATGTGATGCTTTGCAGTGCAGGTGGTAGTGGTGGCCAGGCACCAACCAATTTTTCCTGTCTCAAGGTTGTGGAAACTGATGTTTGCGTGGTCCATTAGTCCATTGGACTATTTTTCCCACGTGGTTAGATTTTGCTCACTTTTCTTTCTTCTGGATTTGGAGAGACTAATACTTACACTTTCGATAGCCAATCACAAGCATTTAAGACCCTAGTCTCGACTCAACACAGTCGGATGTAGAACATTGCCTTTGTGAACTCCATTACAGTAATGCTAATTAAAGTTGGAGTCCCTTGAGGCTATGGTCTTGTTTTGATCCCCCAGGCCCAGGGGCTCACTCCCTCACGGTGTGAGGGAGTTACATCTAAGAAGTTTTTATAACTTTTCCCAGTGTATGTATGCTCCATCACATATATATTATATGGATATATTTGCAGCAAAGGTAAATGCACATATACAAATATTATCTGTCAAGCCTATATATAATCATGGGTATTATTCTAGGCTCCCTCTCATACCTGTTGTTAACCACTCTTTCAAATAAGAAAATTTAATTCTCTCTAGGACCTGTAGGTTGAGTCATTATTGAAAGTAGTATTTTCCATATATGCCCTGGGGATGTATGTTCTCTAGCACACATGAGAATCTAGCTATGATTTACAGGTGTCACTATCTTTGTAATTTACATGGACATAAAGACATTTGAGGTTTTGTTTTATTAAGTAATAGTTGGGGAAAAATTGCATGCTTGTGGCAGATTTTAAGACTAAGGTGTGAAAGTCCACTGATTTCTCTGAATGACAAAAATTTTATGTATTTCCTCTAGAAAATTTAAGAATCCAAATACCCTAAAGAAATAAAAAAATACAAAAAAAAAGAAATAAAAAATACAACAGACACAGACACATGCACACCTATGTTTATTGAAGCAATTTCCATAGTAGGAAGAACATGGGAACAACTCCAAACCCCAACTATACAGGAATGGATAAACAAACTCTGGGACATTCATACTCTGGAATATTATGCATCAATAAGAAACAATGACAATTCTCCTACACACTGCAGACATGGACAAAGGTAGAGAACATTATGCTGAGCAAACTGTCAATCTTAACAAAGATAAATATTGAATAATTGAATTCCATTGTTAGATGGAAAAACAAGAAGAAATGTGGTTTTTACACCAACTGACAAGACCTTGATGACTATGTGGAAGCCAGGGAGGGGTTGTTGGGAACAGGGAGAGGAAGGGGTAGGTTATTGAGGTGGGGATGAGGAAGATTGGGGATGGAGAGAAAAAGAACCACATATATGGAAGGTTGAACAGGATGCTCATTTCATTTCTTGAGATAAACTGTGTAAATATATAGTATGTTTCTTTACAACATTTTTTTGGGGAAAATCCATAAGAAAACAATAAAAGTAAAAATGTCCCCAACTTCTTGGATTTTAACATTTATAATGCTAGCATTTAAATTTGGGAGTATGTAATCATATTCACCAAGATCCTGATTTTTGAAGCATGCTACTTTGCACTTTGAAGGCGGGGTTAAATTTTGGTAGATCCAACTGTACCGTTCACTCTGATGTCAGGGAATTGAAGATAATCTCACAGAGGCGTCCTTAATTTTCATCAAAAGCACCTACCGGATGGGGGACTGGGATCTGGCCTCCAACTCCTTGCCTCCAACTCTGGTGAAATGGCAGAGCAGAAGTTTCCAGAGAACCCTCATCCGGCTCCAGAATGATCAGTACCATCTTCCCTTGCCATTTGAAAAAGCGGGGTTCCCCACCCCCCTCGCACCCCCATCTTGAGTTTGAAATCCATCAGAAGAGTTTAGGCCATTAGTACTTGGGCTCGTGAGGTTGTCCGTTCCTCTAACTTAATAATACAATTTACCGTAAATGCCTGTATGAATATTATTAGACAGAGTCTGTTATAAACACATTATTTATCCCTCCCCCTCAAGTTTTACAAACAGTAACAATTTATTTAAGTCACAGGTCCTGGCAAGCGAACACCTATTTCCCTGCCTCTTCTTGGATGGCAGTGAAATTTTACACTGCGTGAACCAGTTAGTTTCTGTTCTTCAGGAGAAACAGGTGGTAAAGGAAGAAACCTGCCCAATTCTGGAAACACGCTTCTGAGAAGAAGAAGAAATTTAAAAAATTGATTGGTAGTTTACTGAATTTTTTTTTAACTTTCAAAAAAAAAAAAAAATTCCAAACAGTTCTTTATTTCAAGGCATCTCTGTTACCCTGATCCTTCCGGTTAGCTTGTTTGCCAAAAGACCCTCAGGCCCAGCCTCCTGCGGGACTGCGTGGAGCTTTCCGGGCCTTTTGCAACACCCTCGCCTCTCTTTCCTCGGGCTCCTGGGTCACCCGGTCCAGCCTCCCTCCCCGGGGCATCCCTCCACCGCCTCTGATTGGTGCCCCGCGCAGCCTCGCCTTGTAGGGCCTGTTGGGCTTTTGAAGTGATGAGGGAAAGAGTCCAGAGCCTGCTTTTATCAGCCAATCACACGTTTCCCCAACAGGTCCCAAATACCCCGGGGCCAATGAAGGAGCAGGGCCCGGAGCCTCCGCGCCCCCTGGGGAAGGCCGGGCTACAGTCCGCGAGGAGGCGCGGGGCGGAGCTGTGGGACAGCTGGGCCGCCGCCAGCCCTGGCCTGTCACCGTCGGTGCCACCGTCGGGATTTGTCCAGCGACGCGTCCCCTAGCAGGGGTGTGTTGGGGGGAGCCCTCTTTCCGACCATCAAAATGGTTATCAAAGTTTTTGTTGCCACATCTTCGGGGTCCATAGCGGTAGGTGTCTGGTGGAATTGGGGGGCTTTCTTCCTCTGTTCTTCCCGGAGTCACGCAGAGTTGCAGTAGGAGGGGCGGGTGGGGGCTCCTGAACCGTTGGCCTTGGGTTTCCTTGTGCAGAGTGTGGAAGTACACCGTGGCTCTGCAGTAAGCGGGGCGGGGCACCCTGGCCTTTTCTTTTTCCTTTTTCTTTTTCTGTGATGGTTTTAGTGGTGTCAGAGAAGCCTGGGAAATGGGTGAGCTGGGATAGGGGCGTGTTTGTTATTAAGATTTTTAAAAGGTGATTTGTGCCAGGCAGATAACAGTCAAGGCTGTTGGTTTGCTTTGGTTTGGCGTGCTACTGTCATTCATTCTGCAAGAGTGAGACTAGTTTTCAAAAGCACTCTGTAGAACACGAGTTGGAGCGGAAAATGAACTCCTAGGTTTAAAAGTACTTGCATGTGCAATGTAACCAGGCCGAAAGCGAAAAGTTAGCATGTGTAATCCTATTATTTGGGGACAATGATGTCATTGCCACAAGAACAAATGGTTTCAAAAGCTCTAGGAATTCAACCAGACCCAAAAAGGGTACTAAACCATCGTCTATGACATGGCTTTGATTTCCTTGAGATCAGGCTCTGAATCAATCCATTCACCTTCCAGTTCTAATTTCATTCTGTGCCATGCAGACCTGCCTTTAGAAATAATAGATAATAGAATAATATCTATAGGGATATTAGAATGATTCATTTCTCCTTTGAAATAATTCACACGCTCTGGTTTTTTGGCTAGCCCTGTGCACTGGGATCAAGGTTTTAAATCAGCATTGTAGCAGACATTTAGGAGGGCTGTGGATGGAAGACAGGTTTATTAATCTCCGGACAGGGAGAGCAGCGAGGGGGGCTGTTTCCTTTTATATCTGGTTCCTGTGCCATCTCCGATTTCAGCAGTCCCTCAGCCAGAGATGACTCCAGATGGAAAGTGCTTGCAGAGTGGCGGCTCCACGGTCGTGAATGCCCCACTCTCAGTCCCGAGAGTTCATGAAGTTTCCAGAGAGGCTGAGAAGAAAACGAGAAAATTAGTCTGGTAGTCCCTTCTGCACAAACGCGATCAGCAATTGTTTAGTGATTTGTACAACAGGTTGAAGGACAGAGATGGGTAAAAATTCCAAATATAAGATTTCCCTACAAATCCCTTGTAATACTGGATGACTCCAAAAACGTTTTGGTTACTCTTTAGATTAAAACTTTTATTTTATGGAAGAACATGGTTTTTGTCAATTGTAAATATAATGCTGGTGTCCACTGTTGTCAAGTTTACTATTTACCTGCCATTTGTCCGTATACTTTGTAGATTTGGCCTGAGTGAGTCTTTGTATTTTCCAGAAGGTGATAAATACATTTATGTATTATTCAGGAGTATTTGATGTCTTACACTCTTGATTTTTTGGAGTATGGTTTAGTTAGCCTGGGAGTCTCTAGAGGGGAGTCATTCATTCCAGAATCTTGGAAAAGCCAAGTTAATTCTGGTTCCCTAATCAAATGTTTCAGGGAACTTGTAGTGATGTGACCTTGGGAAAGTTATTTCACCTTGCTAACCCTTAATTTTCTTATCTGTAAAATGAAGATAAGACTAGTACTCAACTTATAGTGTTGTCCAGAAGACTTAGCAAGTAACATGTTAAGTCTAGAGGCCCAGCATGCTCAGTTGGACAATGAGCCTTATTTAGTTATAATTATTGTTATTAGCTATTACTAAATTGATATTATGGCTAATTAGTACTAGTTAATATTGAAATTACTGGAACTGTTAGTTAACTACTACTCAATGTTAGCTAATATTAATACTATTATAATTGCTGCAATTATTAGTTTTTATAATTATACTTAATAGTGTTTAGATGATCTGTATCTGTGATAATTATGTTTTAGAAGAATTGTCTGAAAGCACATAAAGAATGAGACCTGATTTCCCTCGGGGTGTCAGTGCTAATGGTTTTCAGTGGTTGGGTAGACCTGCTATATGATGGTAGTTTGTCCACAGAGTGCAGGGTGTTAGGACTGGTTGAATGAGTGAGAGAGATGGGAAAGAACAAAAACAAATTGTGAATGCCTTTCTGTGGTCTTTTAAATATGCAGCGTGTATGATAACTCAATTATAACCTTAGACTCTGAAGAGCAGTTACGTATTTTACCATTTCATGGCAGGGTTTGGGTTAAGAGCCTCTGGGGAGCAGGCGAGGACTTAGCTTCTTGTATGACTCTCTTCTCTGCTGGAGGCTCCCCCGCTACTGTGGGTGTTGGGAGAAGAAGAATGAGGAAGATCCTTATTGTCTTTGAGCTACTTGTTATTATTGGAGGGTAGAACCATGATCTTTAAAGACAGCCCCTAATGATGGCTTCTGGGTTTTTGGATCCTACCTCTTGACTTGATGGAGCATGTAAATATATTGGGATAAGCAGAGTTTTCAAATTAGATGGACTGGGATGTGAACCTTGGAAAATTAGCCAATTTGTTAGGTGAGTCTCAGATTAAAAAATAAAAAAGGTAAAAGACAAAACACAGAAACTTATGCAGAGATGGGCAGTGTTTTGTTCTGTTGTACCTAGGGTTCTATGTGTTGAAACCGATTCAATGGCATCTAACAACAATAAGATTATGAGGGTAAGCCGAAAAGTATTGCTAGAAATTAATAGAAAACTTTAGTTAACAAAAATATCAAGATGTAAAGGTATTGTTTCTCATCATATCCTTCATCTAGATCTGTCTGCTAAATGTGGTGTTTCCATCTCGCTAACCCATTCTTTTCTGAAGATTTATGCTTTCTGAATTAGACCATGTCAAAAACAGTTTTGATATTCTGAAGGGACTCAAATTGTGCTCCATTTCAATGGTCTTGGAGTCTGGAGAACAAAAAGAAGTCCGCAGGGGCAATAGCTGGTCTGTTGGATGGGGTCAGCGGGTACGGTGAGGCTTTTCAATGAAATTCTTGTAGGTCGGCCCTTGCTGTCCTACAGTCATGAGCTGCTGCATTGTTGGGAAGGGAAGCAATTCCCCAGTGTAACTTTCTTTTTTTTTTTTTTCTCTTCATATCTCTTTTTTTTTTTT